GACAATCCCACATATATTAATAAGAGATGAGTTGTCACTGTAATCAGAAAACAGAGAAAAGCAATGCCTGTGCACCAAGTCACATGACTTGACAATCCATCTGCATATACCGAAAAAATAAAGGCATGCTCATTGTAAGGTAAATCAGTGAAAGTTAAAGCGTATGGGCAAAGTCACTATTGCCATGTGACACTGTGAATGTAGTAAAAAGGGCGAGGGATGTTAGAAACGCAACTTGAATTTCTTGGAACATAACTCACTTGCATGTTCGATGTGACAACTCACTGATTACTCACTGTAACGCGGGATGTCAGAAAAATTGAAAAAATCGACAAAATCGATTGAACCCGACCAAACTGACTTGACAAGTCACTGCATGTTGACAAGTCACGAACTAGTATAGCATTTTATCTTCTACTCTCCTCCATTTGATTTTATGATTGAATTTCAAATTTCTTCAAAACACCATATTTCTGACCTCGATATCGTAACTTCGAAGTGACTACTCACTGTATGAAAGAAGCACGCATGCATACAAAGTTTATTGTGCCCATGTAAAATTCACCAATTCGTAAGGGGATTAATTTATTAACTGTGTTCAATGTCACTGCATCAGTAAGGCATTTTTGATGGATCTGTGAATGGCTTGACAAGTCTCTCCACGATTTGACTACTGAATGTGTGAAAAAAGGAAGCTTATGTAGGCAATGTTGTGTTTCACTTACTTATGCATCATTCGTTGTTATGACAAACTATTTGTATTTCATTGAAAAGTATGACTATTTGAATTTTTGTTGTCATTTGGAATTATTTTAAAATCAACTTTTGAATATTCAATTTGTAATATTTTGGGAAACATTTACAACATCAACTGAACATTGGTCGTAACGTACTCATCCACAGATCAATCGTAACAAATTTGTAAATCCCACGCACGCCCACTTAACCCCATAGGTATGGAAGATTAATTGTTATTTTGATTTTTTCTGGAAATCACTTGTAATAAATTTGCAAATCTCACGCACAACCACTTAACCCAATAGTATTGGAAGACTAGTATATGAAAATATTGTTGGAATGAAAATGTAATTGAATATAAAAGTATTGGGTTAAAATGGAATTTATTCAAATAGATGATTCGTATGGTTTTGTATTTTCAAATGAATATTATAATTACATTTTTTTTAAAGAGTTTGTCAAACTTAAAATTTTGTGTGGTTGTATATATTAAAAATAATTTTTATAAATTTTAAATCCGAAACTTACTTGGTTTTTGAATTTCCAAAAATAGGTTTTTGGAAATTTAGTAATCCCCTAACTGGACCAACCACTTGACTTTGAGCTTGTTTGTCCTGTCCCCAAGTTTAGTTTGCTGTCAACCCCCCATTCCTTACCAGAGTCATCATTTTGACTGGACTACCAAGAATTGGAAGGCGACTCTTTCTTCTTTCATAATGGAGATTTAAATTCTTTACGTAGAGGTCACTATTTGAGGAGCCCTCGTTGAGGGAAAATTTCGATTGAGCTACCTATTCTGTGAGAACCCGAATATAAAAATTAAGTAAATAATTAAATAATAATATTACAATCTCAAATATTTTGGTGGTGAATCTTAAAGTGCAAATTAAATATTTGGAAGGTCTTTTAATTAATTTTTATACCTAAAATAAATTTATGGTGGAAATCTCTAATTTAGAGGTAAGATTTTAATAATAACAAAATAAATAAATAAATAAAGAAAGGCAAAAAGATAAGGGAGTCAGATTTTTTAAAGTGTATGGATAACCCTAAACTCTCATATTATTCAACTAGCAGCCATGAAGAGGAGATAGGAGTAGCTTTTGGTGAAAATTGAACAACTAGTTTGGTGCTTGAATAACTCCATCTCCAAGGTTGAAACCAATATTCTGTGAATATAGTTATTTTGTATTTATGTTTCTGTGCATTCATTTGAAGAAGAAGGAATGAAAGCTTAACTGATTAGGTGGCTTCAATATCTATCAAGTTAATAGTTGGTGTGAAATAGTGTAATGGGTATAGTGGATGTATGAAGAACAAGTATATGGCATGGGTTATATTCCATGAGTGTTCTTTGGGTATAAATCCAAAAATTATCAAATCAGTGTCATTACAACCGGTTACAAGTCTAGTTTCTTACATTTTTTGCCTTGCGTTGATTGCTATTGTATACTAAGAGAACCGTCAATTTCTTTAAAAAGGTGCAGAAAACAACCTGTTTGGGTATAATTAATTGTAAATAGTTATTTTGACAAGCAAATCAAGTAAAACCAATTGGGTTTGAAACTTAGTCCCCCAACTAGACCAACCACTTGTTTTTGGGTAATGTTTGTCCAACCCCCAAGTTTAGTTTTCTGTCAACCTCCCATGCCTTACCAGAGTCATCATTTTCACTGGACTTCCAGGAATTAGAAGGCGACTCTTTATTCTTTCCTGATGGAGAATGAAATTCTTTACGTAGAGAATCACTATTTGAGGAGCCCCACTTAAGGGAAGCTTTTGATTGAGCTACCTGTTCTGTTTTCTGTGTTGTTGAAGGTGGTAGTTTGCCTGTCTGAACTTTATTAGTCCCCCAACTGGACTAACCACTTGTTTTTGGGTAATGTTTGTCCAGCCCCCAAGTTTAGTTTTCTGTCAACCTCTCATTCCTTACCAGAGTCATCATTTTCACTGGACTTCCATGAATTGGAAGGCGACTCTTTCTTCTTTTCTAATGGAGATTGAAATTCTTTACGTAGAGGATCATTATTTGAGGAGCCCCAGTTAAGGGAAGCTTTTGATTGAGCTACCTGTTCTGTTTTCTGTGTTGTTGAAGGTGGTAGTTCGCATGTCTGAACTTTATTAGTCCCCCAACTGGACCAACCACTTGTTTTTGGGTAATGTTCGTCCAGCCCCCAAGTTTAGTTTTCTGTCAACCTCCCATTTCTTACCAGAGTCATCATTTTCACTGGACTTCCAGGAATTTGAAGGCGTCTCTTTCTTCTTTCTTGATGGAGATTGAAATTCTTTACGTAGAGGATCACTATTTGAGGAGCCCCAGTTAAGGGAAGCTTTTGATTGAGCTACCTGTTCTTTTTTTTGTGTTGTTGAAGGCAGTAGTTCGTCTGTCTGAACTTTATTAGTCCTCCAACTGGACCAACCACTTGTTTTTGGGTAATGTTTGTCTCGCCCCCAAGTTTAATTTTCTGTCAACCCCTCATTCCTTACCAGAGTCATCATTTTGACTGGACTTTTAGGAATTGAAAGGCGACTCTTTCTTCTTTCTTGATGGAGATTGAAATTATTTACGTAGAGGATCATTATTTGAGGAGCCCCAGTTAAAGGAAGCTTTTGACTGAGCTACTTGTTGAAGGCGGCAGTTTGTCTGCCTGAACTTTATTAGTCCCCCAACTGGATCAACCACTTGACTTTGAGATTGTTTCTCCAGCTAACGAATTCTGTTTTATCTGTCAAAATGCATTTGTTTTCCTCACCCTAACATTTTCCATGTTCTATTGGAATAGATGGTGCATTAAGTTTTGTATCTTTCTAATGTGAACTTGTACAATATATTGTTGTTATGCAATGCAGCATTGTTCTAATTTTGTGTTTACTTGTGTTCATGATATTATACGAATATTTTAATTTTATTTTGTGGGATAATTGGTGGGGGTAAATTTTCATGACACTCCTAGTATCTACAAATTTGAAAGCACAAACCTTAATTTTGTTTTCTCTCTCTGTCTCTCTCTCTCCTTGATATTAAATTTTCATGACACTTCTAGTAATACTCTCATAAAAATCATAAAAAAAAAAATTATTAAAACAAAATTTTAAAATAACTTTAAGCTTTTTCAAAAGTTTTCATAAACATCTAACAAGTAAATTTTTTTTTTCGTAAGCAAAATTAAAAAAACTAAATAAAGCCTAAACTTTTTAAAATAGCAGTTCAACAAAAAACCAAAATAAAAATAGTTCACTAAAAACAAAAAAAAAAAAGTCATCAAATAAAAAGGGTTATCTTTTTAATGTTCCATTTTCCTTTCACTCAACAAATTTCCTTCATATCCTAAATCCAAATGCAGCCCAAGAGAAGAGAAGAAGAAGAAGAAGAAAAGAAAAAAAAGAAGAAAAAAAAGACCTATCATATTACAAAATTAAACTGCAACAAAATCTTTTTTAAAAACAAAAAGAAAAGAATAGTTATTCAGGCGGAAAAGTTAGACCTACTTTATAGGTCTACTGATATGTCAAGAAGAGGATTGGTTGATAATTAAATATTATCTGATTATTAACCAATCATCTTCTTGACACATCAATGAGTCTATAAAGTAGGTACAAAAAATGGAGTTGTATATCATGTTTCAAAAAAAAAAAAAAAACCTTAAGTATTCACATAATTCAACATACATTCCTATTATTCATAACAAACATGCCACATAATCTCTAGAAATTTAACAGTTATATATCAAGATACATAACTATAACACAATATTACACTTATTTCTAAACCAAACATTAAAAGTTTAATGTTTAATCTAATTATTGAATTCAAAGACCAAACATGAAAATTCCAAAGCATTAAAGAAATCTGAGAGAGTCCATTCATTAATCCAGAACATTCATTAACTCATTGCAATTCAATAAAGAAAGTAATGAACTAATAAAGAATTGCAAAGGAAAGAGCACTCCCTAACAAACAAACAAAAAATGTATACAAATCTATTTGTATGTTTGGTGACTAAAAATATTATATTCACCCATTTGAGTAAGATGAAAAAAAAAAATCTATATAACAACAACCCAATACAAGTCAACATTAACTCGGAGTTTTTTTTGGAAGCTTAACCCATTAAGAAAAAACAACACACCTATTCAAACACCAAATAACACTACAAGAAATAATACTTTTTGTGTCACCTGTAACCTGTGCATATACAAAATTATTCATCCATCCATTCATCCAATTCTCAACCATTCAATAAAAATATTTATCTACAACCTGTAGCATTCAATTTTCAACCATATACACAACTTAACTATTAACGGTACATATCAAAGAAAATAAGAATCCATAAACATAGTATAATCTAACAAATACATATACTATCTGAACCAACAATTACAATTCAAACTAAAAAAAAAAAAAATCTTAATAACAAAACATATCAGCTGTACATGTTTTCCATAAACAAAAAATATAATGTAAATTGCGCCCATGCAAACATCATCAATCTGGCCCAAAAACATCAGTGTATCCATGCCAACATTATCAATCTGCAACAAAAACTAGTGAGGTAAGTAATCAAAAATGCAGAGCTTGATTTTTGTTTAAACAGAATATGGTTCAATTTATTTAACAAGTAATTTAGCTTATGGAGAAGGAAAAAATTAGATAACTAACTCAATTGAATTTAGATGAATAACACAACGAATATATCAATTGATATAGCAAGACTAAATAAAGAAAAATTAGTCAATGATTCCTTTTAGCTTAACATATTGTTATTTCAAAGATTTCAACTAAAATAGGCAAATAACGATTTATGAGGATATAACACACAATATCAATTATACAGCAACAAAGTGAGTTTATCAATTAGCTTTTTTAAACCCTTAATGCCCTTTTTGCTTTTTCACACCCTTAACGCCCTTTTTCGATTAAGTTTAATGCATTTTCGGCTCTAACTCCCAACCTACTCGTGCTAATTACATTCCGTCTATTGTCACAAGTCCTATTTGTCACAGGCAATCTAGCCGTGACATCCGTACCGTGGTTCGGGGGCTGTTTCACAGTTTCGCCCCCTTAACGCCCTTTTTCGATTAAGTTTAAGGCGTTTTCGGCTCTAACTCTCAATCTATACGTGCTAATTAAATTCTTTCTGTTGTCACAGCTCCTATTTATGATGGGGAAGGTGGCCGTGACATCCATACGGTAGTTCAGGGGCTGTTTCGTATTTTTGCCCTTTTAACGCCGTTTTTCGATTAACTTTAAGGCGTTTTCGGTTCTAACTCCCAACATACACGTGCTAATTACATCCCGCCTGTTGTCACAGGTCCTATTTGTCACGGGAAAGCTGGCTGTGACATCTGAGCGGTGGTTCGGAGGCTGTTTCGCAGTTTCGCCCCATTGACGCCCTTTTTCGGTTAAGTTTATGGCGTTTTCGGCTCTAACTCCCAACATACACGTGCTAATTACATTCCGTCTGTTGTTGCAGGTCCTATTTGTTACAAGGAAGGTGGCCGTGACATCCGAACGGTGGTTCGGGGGCTGTTTCCCAGTTTCGCCCTCTTAACGCCATTTTTCGATTAAATTTAAGGCATTTTCGGCTCTAACTCCCAACCAACACGTGCTAATTAAATTCTGTTTGTTGTCACAGCTCCTATTTATGATAGGAAAGTTGGTTGTGACATCCATACAGTAGTTCGGGGGCTGTTTCGTATTTTCAATTTCTTAATGCCGTTTTTCGGTTAAGTTTAAGGCGTTTTCGACTCTAACTCCCAACATACACGTGCTAATTACATTCTGTCTGTTGTCACAAGTCCTATTTTTCACAGGGAAGGTGACCGTGACATTCAAACGGTGGTTTGGGGGCAGTTTCGCAGTTTTGCCCCCTTAACGCCCTTTTTCGGTTAAGTTTAAGGCATTTTCAGCTCTAACTCCCAACATACACGTGCTAATTATATTCCGTCTATTGTCATAGGTCTTATTTGTCACGAGGAAGGTGGCTGTGACATTCGAATGGTGGTTCGGGGCTGTTTCGCAGTTTTGCCCCCTTAACACCATTTTTTGGTTAAGTTTAAGGCGTTTTTGGCTCTAACTCCCAGCATACACGTGCTAATTACATTTTGTCTGTTGTCACAGGCCCTATTTGTTACAGGGAAGGTGGCCATGACATCCGAACGATGGTTTAGGGGCTGTTTCACAGTTTCGCCCTCTTAACGCCCTTTTTCGATTAAGTTTAAGGCATTTTCAGCTCTAACTCCCAACTTACACGTGCTAATTACATTCCGTCTATTGTCACAGGTCCTATTTGTCACGGAAAAGCTGGCCGTGACATCTGAACGGTGGTTCAGAGGTAGTTTCGCAGTTTCGCCCCCTTAACGTCCTTTTTCAGTTAAATTTAAGGCATTTTCAGCTCCAACTCGCAACATACACGTGCTAATTACATTCCGTCTGTTGTCAGTGGTCCTATTTGTCACGGGAAAGGTGGCTGTGATATCCGAATGGTGGTTTGGGGGCTGTTTTGCAATTTCGTCCCCTTAACGCCCTTTTCGGTTAAGTTTAAGGCGTTTTCGGCTCTAACTCCCAACATACACGTGCTAATTATATTTCATCTATTGTCACATGCCCTATTTGTCACGGGGAAGGTGGCCGTGACATCCGAACGGTGGTTCGGGGGCTATTTCGCAGTTTTTCCCTCTTAACGTCCTTTTAAGGTGTTTTTCGGTTGGTGAATTTTAGAAAATCAACAAAGTTAATGCATATGAACAGAATCAAAGCAGACGGGGGCTAAAATCATACCAAGTGTTAAGCTCTATTCCTATTCAATCATCTGTGACCCCAAACAACTAAGCAAGCACTATAATTTATGTAAAGTTGTGATTACATTCTCATGATCCATATGGCAAAGCAGTTTGATTTCGCGTGACGTCCTCATTGCTAAACATTCTCAAACTCAAAGGCAAGGGATACATCTATTCAATGAAAAAATAATCATGAAAGGTAACAACATAGTAAGCATTAAGGAGCTATATATTGTACTACATTTTATTTGCTGCAAATAAAAAAGTTGTCCAACTTTAAAAAAATAATAGAAAACCATAAAAGTTGGAAGGATCAAAAAGTGCACATAATTGGGAAGGCCAAGCTTTCCTGTAGCAAAAAATAAAAAATAAAAAGAAGAAAGGGCTACAAATATCCTACTAGTGGGTTTACAAAGTACTTAAATGGACTCTAGTAAACAAGATTGTAATTTTCCACATCTTCTAGTTCACGTGTAATTCAAATGCTATGCAATCTGTCATTCTTTTTTAAACCCTCAGTCCCTTACCAGATATGTGGTAGAAAAAGTCAGAATGGCCACATTAGGACGGGTTATCTCTTTTTCCAGAATATATATGCTTATAGATTTTGTGCCTTTGACTTAAAGAGGTAAGATCTTTTGCCCTCATGGAGAATTTGAGACATGCTCATGACCATAATGAATTATAAGCCTCAACCTTGAATCCATGTAGAAAGAGCACAAAACCTTGCTCAATTAGAATGTCAACTCTTCCATAGAATGTCATCCAGCATTCAATTAGAAATCCTAAAATCCAAGAAACCAACCTACTTCACCAAATGAATGTCAATGTGATAACATGACTAACTAGAACAAAACCAAACAAACATAATATATATATATATATATGTATACAGAAACCACAATAAAGAGATCATGCAAAATAAACTACATATTGTTATGGACAGACCTGTTATTTCTAGCAATTGCCAGTGATGCTACCACCTCTACAGAAAGAACATAGATAGGACCATAAGCATGCAAGACGTATTCACTACCAATCAGATGTCCTGATTTCTCATACCTGGAAATATTTGCAATAGAAAAGAAACTCAAAAATTAGGTTGCGAATAGTTATACACATTTCATCATAAACAAAAAAACACAAAAATATATATTTAAAGGAGAGGGAGGGGTAAAAGTTTTCTTATCTACCACTTCAGTTTAGAGTCAGTTATCACAGGTCCTTTCTTTATGCATCCAATGTAAGTCAGTGAATGGCTTCTCTCTTTAGCCAAAAGAGTTACAAGTCGATCTGTTGGAATTGAGAAAATGGTATTAATAGTAAAAGACCAGCAATAGTGAAATTACTGAACAGCGACGAAAATATTAGTCGCCAAAAGTACTATTTGGCATTTAGTTGCCAATAAGTAATATTTATTGACTAAAATATTTTAGTACCAGTATCTTAAACCAACGCCGACAAATTTGAATTTTAGTTTCCAAAAAATGTACTTTCGGCGACTACAATTTGTTTAGTCGCCAAAAATGGTCGCCAAATGTGCGATGTCTTGTAATGTAAGCACAGAAGCAGATGGGGAGCAAGAACAAACCCAACACTAAGTACACCCAAATATAAACAAGACCTATTTACAGAATAAACCATGTACATCCCACATGGAAGGCTAAAATTAGGTCCAGGAAATACATATAGTATCACAATAACTATTACAAACATAATAACAAAGTAAATGTTCCAATTGTACGAACACCATAACGACGCATCCACAACAGCATCAAACCAGCAGCAGTAACACACAGCCAGCAGCAACCAGAATCAAGAAACAGTAAGCAACCAGCAACCAGTAACACAGCAAGCAACTACCCCTTCCTTCAAAACAGTAACATAAATAGCAGCAGCAGCATCTAGAATCTTAGCAGACAACAATTGGGACAATATCCACCAAATCGGATAGCTTGCTCTACGTCATCATTCAGTCAAATGATCCTAAAAACAGCCAAGCAATCAACAAATCCATAGGACAATTCAACAATAGCTAACACAAACTAAGCTCACTTGATATTGACTATCATCACTCAACCCTCAGATAACACTCAAACTGAGCAACAAATAGCAGTTAAATACAAAGAAATAACAAACTATTCAAACAATGTCTGACTCAATCACTTTACCCACAACGACTAACTCCCCTAAATTAGACCAGCTAAAAACCTGCACCAATAAAACAGTCACCCAGATATAGGGGCTCACCAAACTCAACCCTCATGAGCACAAATAATCCCTCCTCACACACAGTCCTAATATAGGAGCTCACCATCACTAAACCTACCATCCCTAATAACCTGCATTAACAAACTATGAGAGACAAAGAATAATATTGCTCCATTCACTCAACCTACAACCTCACCTTCTCACATAATATTTATGAGATAGCCTCACATCACTCAACCCACATATCCACAAATTGGCCAGCTCTCCACCCAGAACAACCTGCAAACTAACAGCAAGACTAGAAATAGTGGCAGGCAAAGACCTGCCCGTGATATTAACAGCGAACCCGAGCGGTGTATCTTTCCATGTGATATAAGTATGACATTTCCCATATTCCGTGCACAATTCACGTCCTCAACCCCATTATTGACACAAAACAATTACAAGATAAGATAAGCCAAAAGCCAGAACTATATAATAAGCCACAACGTAAACAATGTAGACTAATCCAAGTGAAAACACCACCTGAAGATAATGTGTGAAGATACTTACCAATGTTGGTTGTTCCTAATGTCCTAATTTTCCCCCTGTTCCACAACCCCTTCCATGGGCTTGTCTCCTAGGTCTCTTACTACATACTCTCTGTATATCTTGAGTTGCTGCACGTACGACTCCCTTGCCGGCTTCTGTAGAAGCTGGTTGCACATCACCAATGGGTGCAGTACAATCATTTGATACCACCTCCGGTAAACCTTCATATACGGCACTAAGCTGTGAAATGCCATTATCCGCTGCATTATTGTCATGGTGTATTGCTTGGCGTCGCCCTCGCCCTCGCCCTCGCCCTCGTCCTCGGCCTCTACTTACACCACGACAGTCGCCACAACCTCTACCCCTACCTGTCCCTCTGGTTGGTGCATGGACCTGGCCCTCCCCCTCCCCGTCAATGTAGAAGTCATGGGTAATGAGTGGATCAACATGGTAGGTGAAGGTTATATGTGGTGTAGGAGATAATGGTACTGTGAAAGGGTCGGGTGTGGTCAATGTCGACGCAGAAGGAATCACAGTAGACAGACATGTAGTAGACAGTGGTGCTAAGGGAGTCACCGGGGTACCAACCGCTATCCTATATGGGGGTGGTGACCAGGAGGGGTCCAATATATGGCCATAGTGTGTGGAAGTATGTTCAGACATTAGAGGATCTACCTTAGGGGCAAACTGGGATGTGTAATTGGTACATTCAGGTGGGGAAGTCTGCGGTGTATGCATTGCTATAGATGGACCATGAGGGGACAGACCCATGGAAGGCCCCTCACCAAAGTGTTCCATATCGAAATTGTCCGATTGATGTGTATGACGTGGGGTAGGATGCGGTGGAGGCATTGATGTCGATGGCTCAGTGGATGGCATATTCGGGTGCGACATTGATGTCGCTGTAATATCTACTCCCATATAAGGATCCTCGCCAAAGTGGCCGAAATCTAGTCGGTCACGTCGGTGTGCCTGTTGCAAACCATCGTACAATAACTCCCGTATCTCGACAATGGCATCCGATCCCTCTCTACCATTACGTGTAATATGGGCAGCGTCTGCCATATGATATGCCCTCGCAACTCTACGAACCTGTAATGTAATGGTAGTTGTGTTATGTAACCGTCGATGCCAAATAACAAACATACACAAACTTAAGCAAATATTGTTTTGGAGAATATAAAGAACTTACCAATCCCTCTAAACTACCTCCGACACCTTGGTATCCGAAGGCAGCAATGTCACTCAGATTACTGAGTACTAAACGTGTATGATAGCGAAACCATAACATGTATGGGTCCGAAGATGTAAGCACTTCATTGCTCCTCTCAGTATGGACAATGGTGTTGCGTCGATTGTTCCACTCACCAATAAACGTCTGGTATTCCTTTGCCCAATCAATGGCCATTTTGCCGCGCCTATCTCTAAAATGCATAGCCAAGTGGGCGTCCAAGCGATCAGGCACACTCTAAACTCATCCAAATTGTCTAAGCACCCGATCGGGGAGATGCCAGTCAATGACATCAAAGCATATAAATGGCACTCGTGCCATCCATATGTCTCGACCAATGGTACAATACGATGGGAAGCTAGTCATGATGTCATCCTCCGTCCTGTAAGGCTCCCATATGAACTGCAATAACAATGCAATAATTTAGAGATCTATCCGTACAGCGGAGGTCGACAAACACAAAAATGGGTAAATTGACATGAACAAATTACAAACCTCCCCCTCCATCATGTGGTCGAACTGGTCCCGGAAGATGACACTGACATTAGTCGATATCACCTCATGGCTGAAGGGAACCCTCCACTTGCAAGCTCGTGGGCTAGGTGGTAACAGCTGGTCACCCTCCCCTATGGCACGCTCGCCAGCAGCAATGTTCGACTTCCGACTAGGGGCGATCCTGCTCAATCTCTCCCACGCCCAAACCTACAATGAATGATGCCATTATTAATTTATTACACTAGGCACTTTAGAAAACATGGCAATTGAGAATATGAGATAAAACTACAAGTCATTGCAACTCACTTGTAACAACACAAGTGGGCCAGCTATCTCCTTTGTATTGGCCTTCGTCGCCCGACACAACATCCTATACAAACATGCCAATGCGGTACCACCCCAGTTGTACTCCTGGATACGGTCGAAGTCTCTAAGTAGTGGCAAAAACATCATCTTCACTATATTTTGTGACTTATCGGGGACGAGCACCCCTCCAATAAGCCACATAAGATAGGCTTGAGCGTAATGATGAACTGTCTCATCGGATGCGTCATGTGGAAGGTGATGGAAATGCTTTGATATCCATTTCAACTTAAGCGATAATCCTATGAAATCTTGTTGTGTAGGTGCTGCTCCTAACAACTCCACACATAGTGCTGTCAAATCATCCAACTTATTTCCTGGGTCTTTTCCAGTGACCATGTGTCCGTCAACCGGTAGGCCAAATAGAATAGCCACATCTTGTAATGTGACCATGGACTCTCCGACAGGAAAATGAAATGTGCACGTCTCTATGCGCCGCCTCTTTACGAGAGTTGTAACGAGATGGTGGTCCAATCGAATAGGTCTGATCCGGTACACCCCATAGAACCCCGCACAGAGTAGGCAATGTAGGACTCTATGGTCCAAGGCGGTGTCCCATATGCCCGAATCAGATCGTTGGCGTTTCAATTTCGGCTGATCTTTCGCCTGCACAAGACAACATTGTGTGTAAGAGACATAATGCTCGTATATACACATTTGATTACTGAAATGACAATTGAATTTTCATAATGAACCCATCTTCTATTAACTAAAACAGTGGGTGAGATAACCAACATTTTAGTAGTGCATAGTGCATAAGTGTCATGACACAGATTTGCAGTGTCATGACATAGAAATGAAAGGCTCCATCAAAACTAATATAAGTTTTAGAATGCTTGGTACACCTATAAACGAAGTTGGGCTGTACCCTTCACTGTAGACTGCAATAGGGGTTTATGTGGTTTTCAGTTAAATTAGAAGGGCGTAAAATATAACTAAGCCGTCATTTCATCATTGAGATAAGAATTAAACAAGTTGGGGATCAAATGAATACAATGAAATATTACAGACCAATATAACATATAATGAATATATTTTGAAGAGTTTAAAGTCCTTTATTTTGAAATGAAAAATGTCGCTCGAACTATATTAATGCAAGTTGTTGTAGTATGAAATAAGTTAAAAGTTATTCAAGTAAACAAACAAGCTAAAATAGTCACTTTGTCAATAATTGAAATTGTTTGTGTTCTTATTTTATATAATTTTTAGGACAGTAAAAATATAAAATAAGAAATCGCTGGCAAGTAGAAGATTATGTTATTCAGAATTGGCAAAACGCTTCACTGATGAATCACTGTTGAATTGTTAGATATTCTTAAAGTATCACATGATATTATTTATGTGATACTTTTGAAAAATGAGAAATCATAACATATTAAGTGAAATATTTATTATTTCTTAATTATTTAACAAAAGTGAATCAACATATTTTTCTCCTAGAGTACTACATAATTAGCCAGCTAGCAAGGATAATTATTAAGCCATCCTAGAGTATCATGTGGTGTTATTTA